CTCCAGGGCCTCTGCCAATCTACCCTGGAGGAAAATTCCTTCCCGACCCCAAATATGGCGATCAGCTAAACCCTGAGCATGTGGGCAAGACTCACCAGCCAGACACCCAGAAAGTTCTCTATAGTAACTCCTATCATCCCTCAGTCATCTAACTCGCTGTGTCTCTGTCAAGTGGAGATACTCATAAGGTTTTATGAAGCTTTATTCATAATATAAATGAAAAAAAAATTGTTAATGCAACCCCTGGTGAAAGGATTTTACTTGCCATTATTTTTATAGCTAGCATTATCACAGCTACGTTTCCCTTGATGTTTCTCTTTACATCTATTGGTTTTCTTTGGGAAATAATATTCTGATCATAGTGTCCTTAATACTATGATAATATTATTTCTAAATTATAAAATGTTTTTCAACATTTTTATGATGAATGGTATACTTATTGCACTATGGACATCTCAGGATGCAGTTGTTCAAAGAACTTTAATTTACTTGTTAAATATTTCATACAGTTTAACATTTAATATGCTATATCCTTTATTCACTTATTTCTCCTTTTCTCTTGGACTATAATGTAGAAGTGTCACCCTAGCAGGTTCAAAAAATGTCCATGGTGTGGTCATACAATGTTCCTTAAGGACAAATATGACCTCTGTCTAATGTCTCAGAGCAGATTAAGACTAACCTGGTCTGTGGGATCTGCACCACACATCACTGTGGTTTCTCAGATCCCACAGTAATTGCTCCCTGGATACCCATTAAGTTTGTCATGAAAGTGAGTTTGATGTGTTAGTTTAATATCCAGTCAGTTTGGAAGGCCTGAAAGAGCAAAGCTGCAAGTGTTTCAGAGCCAAGTATCACAGCTGGACTTTAAGAGCTTTGGCACAGATTCAGTGACACAGGTTCTAATGCTGGCATTTAAAACCCTCTACAAAGTCGGTGCATCATCAGAGTTTGGATTCTGTTGATGTGCTACATCAGAGAAGTTCATCTTTTGATTCAGGGACAAAGTCCAGCTTCTTCTGCAGCACAGCTTTAAATCTGGAGACAGTCTAAA